GCAGCTCCCGGCAGGCAGCAGGGCCTCACTGTGTCACCGCCTGCCGACGTGACCACTCCATCGGTCTTCTCGGGCGATTGACGTGCCGTGCGACCTTTATTTGGGAGCTCAGCGTAGCGTGCGTGGTTTTGAGAACTCGCGCTCCGAGTCATGCGTCTGCACTGGAATGCTGGAGGATGTTAACTGGGGCTAGATAACGAGCTCTAAAAATACGGAAGAATTTGGCACTTGTGCGCAGACCTGTTTGTGGCAGCAATTACAGCTCACCTCAAGAGTTTTAACCTCTTTCACATAGTGGGCGAGGGAATAAAGGTCTTTGTGTCGGCTAGGGAAGAAGTAGCTGCTTAGGACAGTGAGCTGGGAGGCTGATGGGACCCTCAATGGAGACTGCCAGAACTGAACTCACATTCACGCTGCGATCGGACCGCTGTTTCAGTGGGGACCAGGCTCTGCCAGTACAGCGACAAGGTTTTGTAGAACAAGAGCCGTTCCAGTCCTAGGTCTCCTTGGCGCTTTCCTACTGCGACAAACTCCTGCCTGCCTTCCTTCCCATTTCCACCACATTTACATGAATGCGGACTTGAGACGGCTTCGAGTCCATGTACCTTCAGTGCACAGTCCATGCAACTGCCCACTGCCTGTTTGCCTGCAAAACCCTTCCACTGCTCCACTGGGGTTGGAGACATAGAGGGAGATGGACCTTTTGGAGGTGCACAGGCTCTTCACCACTGTACGCATATTAATATTTCTAATAGATGGTGCATTGCCCTCTGCATGTTTTCCTTTTTCTGTTCTAACTTTACAGTGGGGTCTCGTTCAAGACATGGCACTGTGTCCTGGGGGTCTGTGGTCAGTTCTTGTTTTTTTGCAGCACTAGCTAGCTCTGAAATATGATAATATTCACAACTGTTTGGTCTGAGTTGACAACTGTAAATGAAGATCTGGCTCAGCTCCGCTATGTTCTCAGCTCGTCTTTCCATTTTATCAAGATCATCACTGCTTTGGTAAACTCTCCTCGCAGCCCAAATTTTATCTGCAGCATCGTGGACTTGCTGTTCAGGTGCCAAGTCTTGCAAGGCTTCAGAGGTACACAATCTATTAGCAAGGGTCGAGACTTTGCAGGGTGTGAGGGAAAACTCTGTTTTGAAGACAACTGCTCTAGGAATGACAGAAGAACCTGGTTCATGTGTATCTCTATGTTGACCTCTCAGCCTCTCATTTTCCTTGGTCACACCTGGCGCCTGGGAGCCCTTGTGCCAAGATGCGCAGCACTCCATGACAAGAGGGAGCGCCGCTGTCCTCTATTCTGCTTTCTCCTTCCGATTTAATACAGGCTCTTT